CCCCCCACTGGCTGGGCTCCTCCCTCCCCTCACCCCTCCCCAGTTCCCCTTTGCAGTGGAGGCCCCTTTCCTGGCTGCCATCAGAGGCGGGCCTGACGTCTTGGCTTCTCAGCATCTCCTCGCTGCCAGGACTCTGCCGGGCACGGGAGTTGACCAAGGAGGAGCAGCCCTGATCCCTGCCCTCAGGGTGGGGACCAGACGGAAAAGAGGGGCACATAGCTCCCAGGAAGCTACCAGCTAGATGTGTGAGGGCGGTGTGAGCTCAGGGTGCCTCCCCCCAGGGCCTGTCCCCCACCCCATTCTGAGCCGACACCCAGCCAGAGAGAGCCAGACGAACAAAGGAGCTCGACATGGTGAGTGAGAACCAGTAGAACAGCCAGATCACTGCCATGAGATCCGTCAGACCAGTTTATAAAACAGCGATGCTTTTTACTTCAGTCTTTTATTGGTCAGGCCAGGTGGTTATGGGTTCACGGTTGGGAGAGAAACACTAGGGGAATGAGGGGAGCTTAATCACAGACACGGCTTTGTGAGCAGCAGACCTCACTTTATTATTATTATTTTTTTAATGTTTATTTTTGAGAGTAAGCGGGAGAGGGGCAGAGAGAGAGGGAGACACAGAATCGGAAGCAGGCTCCAGGCTCCGAGCTGTCAGCACCGAGCCCGACGCGGGGCTCGAACCCACGAACCGTGACGTCATAAGCTGAGCCGAAGTCGGAGGCTTAACCGACCGAGCCGCCCAGGCGCCCCAGCAGACCTCACTCTGAACACGGCATCAGCAGCAAGCTGGCGTCTTCAGAATCAGACGCTGCCAGGAATCCTGGGGGCAGCCAGGTCCTGAGGGGCTTGTGCTCCGTCGCGGTCCTGACCCCAGGATCCCCACGCACGGAAAGCGCCACTTCACTCACGCCAGAACCTTCGTCTCGCACAGCTGTGACTACAGTTGTCTTGTGCTCCTCAGCATCAAGGTTTGACTGCCTTTGGTGCTGGTACTGACACCTTAAGCTTTTCAGGGAAAGTACCCAAAGCACCACACAGGTCTTTTCCAGTACACGTGTCCAGCCCGCTCCCATCTGCCCCTCTGGACGGGCCCTTGGTCTCAGCAGGCGAGTTCTCGAAAGCCTCCTTCTGGTAACAACTATATGCGAGACCCCACCCATGGAACGTTTCTCCTGACCTCTGGAAACATGCCAGTTTTAGCAAAGGACTCTGTACCCAAGAGTTGGCAGGGACAGCGGGGACTCTTTTCCCAAAATGTTGCAGGTCAGTTACGGCAAACAGAACCGTGACCGTCAGGGAAAACAGCCACGCCGGCTCCTTTTTGACCACAGCGGCTGCATGGAAACAGCCGAGGCTTCTGTAGGGGGCCACAAAATGACAATGCTTGTTATGTTTAAAGAAACAGGAGCAGGAGGAGCCCCCCCCCCCCCCCC